GGTTTAGGGTTTAGGGTTGTGAGCTGCTGTTGAGGGTTAGGGGTATCGGATGTGCCCTAGACCCTACACCGTTTCTGCTATGCGCAGGTGATCGACGGAGATGTGACCACAAGTGCAGAAGCCTGAGATGGGATTGGAGTACTTAGTACCCCTTGCTTTTCTTGCATGTCTGGGGCTTGTCAGGGCGGTTTGCACGTTGATTTATCCTTTTGCAGTGCTATCGTTGATGACATTCAGTGCCATCGCGAGTGATCGTACTTCCAGGAAAGTACCCTAAAGCCTACACCCTAAACTGTGTATTTCCAAGGAGGTACGAATTACCCTACATAAACCCTTTACCCTAAACCCTGAACCCTTCGGTAGTTCTCTTCCTTTATCTCGGTTGGTACCAGGAGCTCTACAGGTCTTGGGCGACGGATTTTATTCAGGGCATCCTGGGAGATTTGCGGCAAGTTTAAGGTTTAGGGTTGAGGCGTACCTAGAGTAACCAAGGTACCTGGATATTAGGCATGTGACCCGAAGACTTTGGCAGGTAAATGTATCTCGGTCGACTTAGGCAGATGCAAGATGATGCAAGCAAATCATAGGGTTTAGGGTTGTTGGGATGTCGGGTGTAGGCTTTCGGGGATTGTTGTGGTCATCCCTATCTTATCCCAAAGGTTAACCCTCAACTTGGGGCAAATCACGAGCATGATAGTGGTCTTTCCCATGTACACGTAATTCAAGACATATTTACATGCATGTTGAGTTTTCAACAAGTACCTTGTAAGCCCTGCACAGTCAAATTCCGAATTAAAGGAGGACCACGAAATAAAGGACTTCTGGACATACACCTGTACCGACTCTTCACGGCAGCGGTGTGGCATGAGGTGGTGACCGACCCGTCGTATTCAACGGTCACGGACGACTCGGTTGTGAACGGCCTGCGTCAGGCCAGTACATACCGTGCAATGATGTTGAGTTGGTTGTTCCTTGGTAGTCAGCAGTCATGTTGCTTTCGTATCACTACATTCTCATACTACGACGACGACGACAACAACAACAACTACTACTACTACTCCTGCTCCTACTCCTACTGCTACTGCT